TAAAAGGCAGCGGTTGGCTGGGTTTCGAATTAAATTGCAGAAGATGATAAATGGAATAGGGACAATTAAAATAACAGCTGGATAGAAAATCATCAACTCGACTCTCAGGGTGAGACTGGCCAGAACCTCCTATACGAGCTGTACAATTAATGAGTTTGATTTTTGCTCTTAGAGTCGCCTGTGGAATTATGACTCCGTTATAGAAGCTATTTTTAATTAATGGTTAACTAGCAAATCTCAATATATATCTCGCCGTTCAAAGTCCAACCTGAAGCCATGCTGGAATTTACATTTCTGTCATGTTAACTAATGGCAGCTTGCTCAGTCAAAGTTCCTGCATCGGGCTGTGGGATCCGCAGGTGCCGGTTGCGATGACCGCGTGGTCTAACGATGATGACCGCGTGGTCTAACGATGATGTCCGCGTGGTCTAACAATGCGCTGGAGCCCCCGGGCTCCCCTCGGCTCGGCAAGACGGGCCCGGGACACGTGAGCACCTGGGACATGGAACCCAGCTCAGCTGGCACCAGGGTGGGCAGAAAGAGGGAAATAATATCTACTCCTCTCAAGGTGCAAATTCCTGTGGTTTGGGTTTTCTTTGGTACTTTTGGAAAGCAGCTGTACTTAGTGCTGTAGTAACCCTAAAATGGCCCATAGTACAAATCTAACATATGCCCAATGGAAAGGGTTCAGCACTTTAAAGACTTTGGGAACATCATCCCTATTAAGACAAAGCCGCAGGACAAAGCCTCGCTTACCAAGACAACAAGTTTTGCCCTGTTGCAGCTGATTTTAATTAATCTGTGTATTAATCTGTTGTTTTGTTCTTTTTTTTTCAAGCTAACTGAGCTGTTACAGTGGTATGGAGCCACCTTTAGAGACCCCATGATGCTCCAGCCCCCGGAGTGGTTCAAGGCATTTATATATTGCGAAGCCTTCTTACAAATGCCCTTCTTCCCCGTCGCAGCGTACGCCTTCTTGAAAGGTTGGTACAAAACAGGTGTGAGAATATCTCCTGTGCAGCTCTACTGCACTTGCTTTTTGTACAGCAGAGGAAGTTTATTTCTCGGTGTTGAGCACTGGCGGGGAGGCGCCATGCGGAGCGCTGGGCTGGTTTCACGGGAGCGTAGAGTGAGGCCCAGGAGAAGCAAAGCCGGGGGCTGCAGGCCCTCGTCAGCCACAGCCGTTTGTGTGTGACCAGCATCAGCATTTGACACCTGGAACATTTCTAGGGTCGATGAAGTCCTGGGTCAAGCCTGTGTACTCACTTTGTTACTTTCAAACTTTCAGGATCCCACCATCATTCCCAGTTTCCATAGAAACGATGGCTACTTTTCATGGGTTGCCACCAGGACTTTGGTTTTTTCTGCTACTTATGACTTACAGCTTATCCTGTCAGAGAGATGTTAATTTAAAAGCCACTGCCTGTTTCAAAATATTTCACAATACTGTTTCCTTTTTGCTTCTGTACAGGTGGCTGCAGATGGATAAGGACTCCTGCAATTATCTACTCCACCCACGTAGCTACAACGCTGTTTGCCATCCTTGCGCACATCCTGTTCCACGATTTCTCCAAGTCTGAGCACTTGGGCCCCCAGACGCAGCGGGAGCGCCTGATCCTGCTCTCTGTCTACCTGCCCTACTTGCTGATACCCCTGCTGATTCTCTTCACCATGCTCTGCAACCCCCACTACAACCAGGTGGAGAAAAGGAAAAGGAAGTAGTCCGTTCGAGAAGCCGCCACCGCCTGCTCTTGATTCGGACCCTGTGCTGACGTGGGCCCCTGGGTCAGGCGTCCGTGTCAGGTTGTTGGCTGTAGCGGCCGTTACCAGAGCGCCTGGCTCCTGCCAGAACAATTTGGTTTGAGGTCACAGCTCCCCTTCAGTCCAAAACGGCCCCGCCTGCCGTTCCAGCGGTGGAGTGGGTTTTGTGTGGTTCATCCGTAACAGGGAAATTAACTCTAAACTGCCTGATGTGTAACTGCCTAACGGAGGGGAGGAGAGTAGGAACTACAGCTGATACTTTTCTTTGAAGTTCCCTTTTCCCCAGCTGTTAGAAACCTCATAATAAATTTGTCTTCCAAGAGTATATTCGGCAAAATCAGTGATTTTATAGTTTGCAAAGGTACGCTTCTGACACATTCCAAATCTTAACTTCTGCACCCCTTCCTTTAAGATCTTACCTTCATTTGCTCTGCTTCAGTTTTCATTAATCATAAACATCTGATCAGTGATAAATGTGCCAAAATCTGGGTTTCTGAATGCTTAAAGTTACTTGGGTGTGATAATGAGGTGTTCTTCCCAGAGGATTTTGAAGTACTTGGGGAATTGCAAACAAGGATTTTTAAACTTCGCTCTTTCATGAAATCGTTTCTAGTATGGAAATAAATAACTAAATGCATTAAACTGCCTTTAATCTTCTTACAAGAATGACTAAAAGAAACTTAAAAATTACCCTGAGATCGTAGGTAGCTCATAGAGTAAATATGCATAAGGTACAGTAAGTAAAACCTACCCCTGACAGAAATTCTGGGGTGGTTGGGGTGGGTTTGTTTAAGTTCTCGATCTGATCTCCAAGAATCGAACCTGGAGATGTGTGTTGCCTCTTTGCAGACTTGAGCAATACCCTGTAGAGGAAAACCATTACAGCCCTCTGGGGAGTTGTATTTGAGCTTAGGCTCAAAAAGAACATAGTGCAAACAACTAGTCCTGGTATATGCAGCAAGTCTGAAAACAGTAATTTATTTGAAAAAGCTGTACAGATTCAAAAAGTGAGAGACATCACAGAGCAACAGCAGTATTAATCTGAACTACTGGCTGTACAAAACTTTTTATTTATAAAATCAAAGCACAGAACAGTCTTTCTGTCCGTTGGAAAGCCCTCCTCCCTCCTTATTGCCACTCGTTGTGTAATTCACGCTGAATTAAAAGACACTTCCTGTGGTACAAACCATCCCTTCGTTCATACACAGTGAAAAATTGCATATTTCTGAAATTCTCAAGATTCTGGAATGGTCAAGTTTCCGAGTTGGTTTGATTTTATCTTAGAATCCTCTTATTTCTGAAAAATGAATTGGTCGATGAATTCATTCTGGTCCGCCTCGATTTTGCACAGCGTCTCGTACTCTATTCGGTACCTGGAAGGAAAAAGGAGTGGTCGCCGGCTGCGCCCGGCCGCAGCGTCGG